TTTCTAATGTTAGGTAAGTTTTGTACTTTTAATATGAATTTTCCAAATCGTTTTTAAATCTTTCAATCGTTTTTTAATGTGTCAGCATTTGGCGTCGAACGAGTTGAGATTCTGGTAATTGCTTGGTATTTTCTACTGATTGTCGACTTTTGGCGGCGGCTCTCAAAATGTTGGCATAATTTTTTAAATTTTCAAAGTTAAATAACTCGGTTATTATCAATTTATTTTAAAAATGGTAAAGGGAACATATGTTTTTTTGGCTAGATCTACCACCCCCTAAAATACTTATTTTTTTTAAAAACACTCTTTGAGTCTCTAACTTCCATAAACATTGAATTAAATATTAAGCATGTCGTTATTGCACATTCCTATTATAAATTAATAAAATCAAATAGATAGATTTGATATTATATGGGAAATAATTGCCACTAATATACCCGATTAAATTAAATCAAGTCACAAACAGTTCGCCTAATATTCATTACAATGCTTCCAACTAGATTATAATTATTAGCGACAACTTGACTTTTCGCTGTATTTCACATGAGCGCAAAGGAATCCGCGTTGTTTAAAATAAATATTGATTCCACAGCTGTTATTTAGGTATTCGTTATGTTTCTAACAATATTTCATTTTCAATTTATACAGCAATGTAAACAACAGATATTTTAATTATTTTCAAATGAAAAGCCATTCAATCGCTAAACTACAACAAATGGACGGAATGAGAAAAAACCGCTAATAATATAAATTATACTGATTATTGAAACTTCAACGTAACGCTAGTTTACGGTACACTCACTGGATAATTTAGAAATATAAACAGCAAAACAGTGGTGGTATAATTGGTTGCTTAATTTAGAACTCACGAAAACTATTGAACTAGAAATGGAACTTCGCTAAAAGTTCGGCAAGTGGTTGTTAATCAAATCGACAATTTCAATAAAGAAAAAATAGATTAAATGCACCGGATTAAACTAATAATGAATTTAATTCATAGGATTTTGAATCATATTGAATTAAAAACAACATTTGTAGATAACTAGCAAAATCTGTTAGATAAAGAAATATTTCTAGGAAAATCTCAAAAACATTGTCTTGAATTGATGTTTAAAAATACGCAACATTTTTTAAAACTAGTGATTTTTGCGTTCTGAGACAATTTTTTGGTTATACAGGGTGAGTCTTAAATAAGCGCAAATATTTTCAGGACTGGTAGAACTAGATAAAAGAAATATATTTTCTCTTTACTGTCCAAAATAATCGAGTTATTTTACTTTGAAAATTTCCAAAAAAAATGTTTTTTGCTTAAATTTTGAGAACCACTGGATCGTTTTGGCATTTCCCTTCTAGTAAATTTAATTTACTACCCATGTTGCCATGCCATATCAACGGAATGCTTTTCTAAACTAAAAACTAAGAAAATTTCTAGAAAAATAATTCAAAAAATTCCAAATTTTCAATTTTTTTTTTAAATATATCCCTACCCAAACCTAGTAGATATCTTAAAGAGATATCGAGAAAACTTGCCCCTCCAACTTTTAATATGTATTTTAATCTTCCTCATAGTATTTTTTGTCATTCCGATTGCTACTTATTAAATTGTCACCCTGTATAATGAGTAACTAAATGTAGTACCATAACGTTCTATCAAGCTCTTAATCAGGATTTTTACGAAAACTTTTGTATGTATTTTTCAATATACCAGGTTTGCTTGGAGATATACATCTAATTATTTATAGCTGGATCGCACCATAATAGAGTGGAGAGTAATCGATTGTATGTCAATGATATGTTATCAAACAAGGGTAATTTGTTATACATAGATGTAGTTTACAGTAGAACACTAGATTTTGTAAATTAGAAATATCCACTTTCATATTCAAAGATTTATTTATGTTTGTAATACGTAAGAAAAATAATATTCAATAAATGATTGACAGTGACACAAAAGCCTCAAAAATTCCCCAAAAAAAGAGAATGCCAATAAAATACATTTCTGGTATTTAAATTAAAACTTATCGTTAATGAAATATCTATCTTCTAGTGCCGATAGATAAGAATGCAGTGAAATTCTATTTTATATCGGTACGTAGGCAAGACTTTTTAAGGAAAATTAATTAAATCCTCTGACTAATCCAGATTTTTCGCTTGTTTCAAGTTCTCCTGGAACCTGCGCTGGTCATTTTTAATAATAAATCAAGAGTGAAAATTAACAAATGTATCTTCAACGAGAAAAACCTAATGAAATAAATAGTTTCGCTTTTTGATAGCCACTTTACGATAAAACACTATTTTGTTATTTTCTATCTACTTAAAACATAGCTTTGGAAAGTTTATCTTTTAAAGCAGGCAATAGAATTTCACAAATTCTACTTTTCTCTGGCTTAGTATTATTTTATTTCACCTAAATACGGAAATACTTCGAAAACCGTCTTAAATTACACAAGGCTTTTACTTTTCTCGGCTCGATTTTAATCTTTCGTTTTTTAATACTTCATTTTGAATAAGAAAAAGTTCTATCGCATCTACAGAATATTTATAAAATTATATTATATACCACCCCGTATATTTAGAACCTCAATATTTAAATCTAGAATGTCACTTTATCTAAAGAAGGAAACATCTCGACCATTTTGTACTACGGGTCATTAAAACGGACATTATAAGAAAACTGCAAGTCGCACAACGCTCAATGGAAAGAAATATGCTGAGTATAACCAAGAATGACCATAAAATAATGGAGTGGATACGTCAAAAGACTTAGGTAATAGACATCCACAGAATAAAATCCCTCAAGTGGCAATGTACTAGAAGGACTGACAACAGATGGGCCACAAAAATGACAGCATGGTACCCACGAAGAATTAAGAGACCCAGAAGAAGACCAAACCCGAGATGGGACCATGATATTAGGAAATTAGCAGGGATAACTTCGGCCCGCCTAGCCAACAATAGAGAACAATAGGCCAAACTACAAAGAGATTATCTAAATATGCGAGGAAGGCTACAGCATAATTGGAAATGGTTGAATAAGCTGAAAATGATGATGCCGATGATGATGATATTTTATAGCATTTTTTTTTAATAGTTGAAAATAGTATAAACTAATTACAGTTCTATGTTTTACAAAATATAAATATTTTAATGTACTTGAGGTTTTAATAATAAAATTAAAAATATAATATAACTATATTTTAAAGCTAATATCTAAAATTAAATCTTAAAAATATATGATCCTTTAAACCTGTTAAATAATAAATTCCTGACTGTGTATTTAGAGGTAATATAATGTAAGTACAGTAATGGAAGAATAGTGTTGTGCATACCAGTTTTGCAGCAGTATGGCATTCCGCAATTCCATTTTAACTAAATATTCAAAGTTGTTTTGCTCGCAGTTTGAGATAATGGAAGAATGTTGTACTAGCATTTAAACGTCCACAGGCCACCACCTGAATCCAAGTAAATATTTAATAAGCAACATTCCAATGTAAATCAGTCTCATTTACAGGAATGTGACATTTCGACTATTTAAATTCTTATGTTGGCCCTATTGTGCGTTTGTATACAAGACACGTTCTTTGTCGTTCTCAGCAGATTATACTGGCGAATATCTTCTCAGCTATCTCGTTGGCAAGCCTATGCATTGCCAAAAGATGTACACTCCATTTTTAGGAAAAGTTTATCTTGTATAATACAATTCTTTTTAACAGTTCTCTTTAGAACGAAATAATCATAAAAGTTTAGGACAATGGAAAAGCTCTTTTATTAAAAACTTTTTTAAAACGTATTTATATTAGAAATCTTTAAAAATTACACAGTAAACCGAACTTATAAATTGCAATATTTCTTTTTTTAAAATAGATAAAATGAACTAATAAATTTAAATATCTCCTACGTATTTTCTCATTGTACCATTTAATTTGAATGTAAATTATATCCCCCTATTATTCCAGAACCTTAAAATAAAGAAAGTATTCTAATATATACTAACAAAACATCCTCTTTAAATAGAACAATACAGTGAGGGTTTCCATAGTAAAACATTAATTATATAAATCCTGTTAAACCACAGATATCAGGGTTAAAGTTTAAATCAAATTTCCATTTTGTAATTGTATATGTACAAGATACGATGAAGGAAAGTTATATTCTTCACTACCTAAAACAATAAGGAATTATATCCAATTAATATAATGAAATAACAATAGTAGCCCTACTCAGCACCAGAAGCATTTTTTTTATCCAGTTAAAAAGTTAATTCTTCTATTAAGTGAATTTTGTTGATTATATTTATTTAATTCAAAGCTGAATTTTTTTTATAATACTGTATGATTGAAAAAAACGGTGTTGAAGACGGCTGGGAATGATAATCGATAGTAATTTTGGTGAGGTCAATCTTTAGACGTCGTTTACTAAAAATTGATATAAAACTTATCAAAAATCAAGACTAATAATTATAGAAAGATATTGAACAGACAAACAAATCTAGTTCCAAAAATTATTTCTTCTAGAATTTTAAACTACACCATTTAAAATTATTTTTCCTCAATATAAAAATAAAATACAACTTTCTTAAAACCAACTGGCACTAAGCGCCATTAAAATTAAAAAAGAGCACGTGTCAAGTAAAAAATGACATCTAGGGCTTGACTTCGCCAAAATTATCATAGATCTTATTAGAATTATTATTATTTAAACTTATCACATATATAAAATCATATTTTTTTATTTTTTAAAGATCATATTTACTAAAAATTACAACAAGCGAGTCAAGGAAACCGCACAAAATAAAGCAGAATGCCACCGATGTTAAAATTGTTTATTTTTAGTGTTGGTATTTCGAGCGAGGTAAGGCTTGCAATTCGAAGAAGCAAAATTTTCTGCATAATTTCTATACAAAAGGTACATTTTATTTCAGTTAAAATCTCAAGGTATTTAAGTAGATTGTTGAACCCTTACGTCCACACCCTTTGCAGCTATCTTTCGCTTTGTTACAGGTCAGATGCCAGAGCTGGAGCCCGAATTTCTGGCTCCCTTGGAAAATCATACAGTCACTCAAGGCAGGGACATCTTCTTTACTTGCGTTGTCAACCACTTGTCTACTTACAAGGTAAATATTTAACATTGTTTTAGATCCCCTGTTAATTGTTTTGCTAATTAAACTTCAATTTAAGTTTAACGTCGCTGTTGGAACTTCGGGAAATGTTCAGCTATCCGTAATACTTTTACCCCATATACAGGATGTCCTAACTTAATATTAATAACAAATTAATAAATATTAGAACGTTTAAAAAATGAAATATTATAAAGTATAATATATTATAAAGGCGTCGAACAAAAAGCTTTTCTGAATGGTTTTAAAAAATTTACTTAAAAAAAACATATCATTCAAATGCTCTGCATATTTCAATTTATGAAAATGTCTGTATTTGTAAGAAATTTTATGTAGATTCAGAAATGAATTTTTTGAACCCTTATTTTTGATAAGGGTTAAAAAATTCCTGTATACAATAAATAACCTCTATTTTCTTTTTCTATGCATTTTAATTAGTAAATAACAGCAGCTTTAACAAAATCGGTGTCATGACATATTTTTACACATATTCAAAGGTCTTACAACAAGTAATTATAGTCTAAAAATTATCAGAATTTCACAATTTGTAGAAAATTTTATGTAGATTCAGAATATATACACCATTAAATGCTTAGATGTCTGGGTTTTGTGAAAAAATAATTATTTTTACCCTTCTTTATGAACTATTTTTGATAATGGTTAAAATGTACTCTACATCCATTACTGTTCTAGTAAAACTGCAATGGCCTATATTTTCTTATTCTACTCCTTTTATTAGTAAATAGCAGCAGTTTTAACAAAATCGGTGAAAAGACGAAAATATAAAATTTTTATGAAAATGTCCTATTTTGGCTATTTTTTACACAAATTCAAAGCCATAGAAAACAAGTAATCATAGTCATTAAATTATGAAAATTTCAGAATTTATAGTAAATTTTATGTGATTCAAAATATAGACACTTTTAAATATTTAGATACCCCAGATTAGTGACTAAATAAATTTTTTGGACCCTTATTTTTGAGCTATTTTTGAAGATGGTTAAAAAGCTTTTCTAAATTGTTTACAAAGCAGACCAATGTTAATAATCTATTCAACGCTTTGTCGACTATATGGTGCAAAATAGCTGTTAAATACTGCAATACTCCTTTGTATTTTGTTTTGTTACATACAGTTTCTCCATGCTCTATGCTGCTCTTTTCTAGCTCATTTATATTTTATGAACGATTAGCGATTTTACTAAACAGTAGATGCAAGATACAAACTTCTCCTTAATATTACACTTATATAAAGTTAAAAAAAAATCAGAGAAACTAATAATAAACAAGCTACAATAAAATATACAACTTAAACTTCCTGATTATGATTTTTTTTTTTAATTTTTACGTATATTATGTTTATTAAAAACTAAGATGTTCATACAATAATAACCTCTACAAATGCCTAAGTCAAAAATTTATTTATATTATATCGGATTAAAAAAGTCTCTGTTATTTTTTTGAGGTTATCATTATAATTTTTGCATGGTTATAATATTATATATTAATATTATTCTTACAAATATAATGTATAATATATATCTTTCATTGAAAAAAAAACCATCTCCATAAACATTTTTGTGCGAATCTGTCGAAAAAAGAGAGTGATAATAGACATTGATTTTAAAGAATCCAACCAATTGGTCCCACAGTTGATTTTATTTATAAGAAAGTTGGTTTGCAAGAAGTAAAATTCAATAAGCGTTTCGGTGCACGGCTGATTGGCTATTTTTGTGTTACCTCCGGCAAAAGCCACAATGCAATCAGCGCCGTGTATAGGTACTATCTCTGATCTGATCCGGCATTTTTCGATGAAATCATTTTATACTTTTTCCTATATAGTTCCTGTGCGTGAAATTTTCAACCTATCGCCTCGTATCACAAATATAATAAAAATTCTTCATATACACACCATATACCTTATATAATTTTATTATTAAGGAAAGATAAATCATTGAAAATTACTGTAAAGTATCTTTTAACTCATTGAATATATTGCCGAGTAACATAAATAATTTTACTAGCATGATTTAGTATAATAAAATAACTGATTTAATTATTTGCTAATAAATTCTCTGCATTAAGAAAACTTCATACTAGCTTGAGTCTATTGTTCCTAAATTCAATAATTCATAGGCGAATGTATTACTTAACAATGAGCTTCATAGCATACTGGATGACCCCAACTATCGAGAAATCCCAGTAATTTATTATTTATTAATGATGGTAACAGACTAGAATTTTAGAGAAACAGAAATACACTTACTAAATTGTGCTATTCATAACACTAACCAGGGTCGCTTAATGGATTTCTATATGTCTATTATTTCTTTTGTTAAGTGTTTATTTTAATTATAATTTATGAGATTTCTCTGGTTTCAAATAAATGAATTACAAAATTATTCATTCTGGATATATTATCACTAAACACAGATTTTTTAAACCGTGTCACAATTTTCTCAGTGGTTCTCATTTAAAGTCATAAAATCATTGTTTCAAAAGAAACAAACTTTTAAAACAAAATATCAAACACACTGATCATACATAATATTTTTATAAAGGATTCTATGTCAAACTTTCTAAAACATAAAATAATTTTTCTTCGCTTTTTTTTTCATAAAAAACACCCTGTATATTATTTTTCGCAAATGGAGAATTAAAAAATGAACATTTTTTTTATTTAGAGTATTCGAAGTTTTTAACGGTTTCGCAGATATTCGCGGTTTTCTATTTCATAATATGCCATTTTCCATAGTAAATTTTTATCAAAGCCACCCAATGATTGTTCTCTCGTATTTTACGTTGAAAGAGCCATATGAAATAATACTGTGTGTAGCTGCGAAACCATTCAAAATTTTGAAATACTTTAAATACAAACTCCATCTAATAAAAAATAATATACGGCGTGGTCCATTAAAAAAAGACAAAGAAAAATTATTTTATATTTTAGAAAGTTAGGCGTAGAATTTTGAACACCCTGTATGATTAAAGATTACGATATTTATAGCAAACTATAGACCATCTAAGGTAAATACTTAATATAGTTTTGATTTCAGGACAGTTCTCTTATTTGTAATAATTTCTTAAGGAAGGTTGACAAATATATATTTTTTATTTATAAATATCTCTGAAATTATCGAAATATATTTACTCATATCTTAGGATTATGTAGAGTTATCTGAAAGGATGCCAAAAATGTAATAATATACAGGGTATTCTATTTAAAAATATAATCCCGATCCACTCACACTTTTTTGAGCCACTCTGTAGAAGTTAAAGTTTTCCTGAAATACATCCTAATACACATTTTAGGTTTGGACTTCCAAGTTCCCAAGTTCCCAAAAATTCCCAAGTTTTTTTATTTTAGGAGCTACAGATACCCGACGCACTACTGCCGGACACTGTATATATTTTATCCTTAAATTTTGAAAACCACTGTTTTTTCCTTTATTTTCCTTTCTCTAAATTTAATATCCTATCTATGTTGGCTGTATTATCAAATTATTATGTTTTTATAACCGAAAATATAAAAATGTTCCAATAATTATTCATGAAAAAACCTCATGGTTGTTTCAGGACTCCAAATATGCCATTAAAAATATTTGCACTTCTTTAAGACTCACCCTGTTATATTTTATGCAGTAAAAATTTGTTTCAATATACGCGGATTTTTAAAAGAACATAACCCCCGCTTTAAACGAGGGACTCCTGTATACTTAGCAAAGAATGTTTAATTTACTAGTGTCAGTATTTTTAGCGGCAAAATACCCAGAACTATTTGAAATTTCAATTTTATCGGTATTAATAAGTGATTTATTAGTTTCGCTATAACATAACAATGAAAAATTCTAAAATTGATTATTAGTGCAGAATGTGGAAGGGTGCAGAATTTAATTAAATCGGCACAACTAAAACTGAACGAAACAAAGTCTGTGGTATTGTGGGTGATTTTCTTAGAGCGAGAATACCGCACTTTGCTAGGTACACGCACACATCCAAGCCGTGTTGTTAATCACTCCTCTTCCCGCCAAGTAAATCTAACACGATATATCTTAAGCACTGAGTCGGATATAAATTTAATAATATACAGGGCCATGTGTAATGGTCCTGATAAATTAGGGCTGTTCCCAACTTACCTGGATCGCTCCAGATCCGTTTAAATTCAGAAATGTTTGAATTATCCCTTGCTTCCACTTTCTGACCTTAGCAAGTTAAACTTTACTCGGAAAGATAAACAGGCAAAGTACTTGGGATAAATCATGAAATATTTGAAAGACTGCTGGTGCGTAGCGATTTAAATTATTATTCTTGCCTTTTAAATTAGGTATATTTTCTCGCCATTATTAAGTTCCCCTTATCGATCTCTCGTTCTTTAACCAGGGACACTCTTTTTTAAACCTTCAAATTACATTCCTTTGATTTTTTATATAACCAGATAAAACTTATTAATGTTAATATAATTTTATTTTAATTGAAAATTTTATATTAATTATATTCTCTTATAGTAAGTCTTATAAAAATAGTCAACATAATCGTAAAATTATAAAAATGAATGGATTTGTAAAAAAATGATGTAGATTCAAAATATATAGAACTTAAAGATCTCTCATATGTGCAAAGCCGTTCTTTTGGAACTATTTTTGATAATGATTAAAACATCCTGTTCTTGCAAAACTATAATGGCCTATATTTTCTTACTCTGTCCCTTTTATTTAGTAAATACCAATATTTTGTACAAAATCGGTGACATGACAAAAATCGACAATTTTCATGGCTTTATGTATGGCAAAAAGTCGAAAAAATTCCCCTTTTGGCTATTTTTTACACATATTCAAGGCCTTAGAAAACAAGTAATCATAGCGATAAAATTATAAAATTTATATATTCAGCTTTCAAGGCTTAGTTTGGTTAGGCTGGTTTTGTGAGAAAATTATTTTTTTGACCCTTGTTTTTGAGCTATTTTTGATAATGATTAAAACGTCCCCTATATCTTTTACTCTTCTGGTAAGACTACAATTGGTCTAAATTTTCTTATTTTACACATTTTAATTAGTAAATAATAGTAGTTTTAACAAAATCCGTGATATGACCAAAAATCGATACTTCTCATGGCTTTATTTACGGATAAAATCGAAAAAATGCCCGTTTTGGCTATTTTTTACAAATTTTCAAAGGCCTTAGAACACAAGTAATCATAGCATTAAAATTATGAAATTTTCAGCGCGAATATTCCGAATATATAAAACTTTAAAGGCTTAGATATCTCTGTTTTGTGAAACTATTAAATTTTTAACTCTTGTTTTTGAGCTATCTTTGATGATGGTTGAAACATCCATTACCGTAAGACTACAATGGTCTATAATAATTAAGAATAAACAATAATTAAGAATTTTCTTAATCTGTATCTTTTATTTAATAAATAACAGCAGTTTTAACAAAATCGGTGACATATGTATGAAAAAAATTGGAAGAAATGTAAATATAGTCATAAAATTATTGAAATTTCAGCATTTGTAGAAAATTTTATCAGTCAGGTGTCTACGGTATTTTTTATACAATGTGTAAAAATCATATTATATATAATTAAAAATGGCTTGTGAATTATGTTCCCGAACAATATATTGCAAACTCTGTTGTGGCATTTACATTGATTCTTAAAATACCCTAAATTTAATGCTAATAATCAGATATTTAGACCGTTATATATGTTTGGTTGCAGGTTGCTTGGATAAAATCAGATACGAAAGCTATTCTGGCAATACACACCCACATGGTAGCCCAAAATCCACGACTGTCTGTAACCCATAATGGGCACAACACTTGGAAGCTTCATGTGTCAAACGTTCAAAAAAATGACTCGGGAACATACATGTGCCAAATTAACACGGATCCTATGAGGAGCCAAGTAAGTTATTTTATAATTCGTAAAAACAAAGAATCAAGGAACATAAATGGGAATTTTTGCATGACCTATTTTTTGCCTCCTTTTTTCAAACAAATGAAATGCGAAACAAATGCGGATGAAATTTAAAATTCCAACCTTTATATGTCTCATACGCGTTTACCACAAAAATTAAGTTGAATTAAAAAGCAAAGCAAAAATATGCAGACGATTTAGAAGATCATTTTAAAATTTTAAACGGGATATGTGAGATTCTTTTCTCTGAAAACGAACTAACAAAAACAAGCATCACTTTGAAGATAGTAGGTATCAAAAATTGGAATAATTTACAGGAATTTAAAAAAGGTAATATAAATAATATTTTTCAAAACAAGTTTTAAAAAAGATTTTAGTTTATTATACATTAGGTTTGTTCCAACACAGAAATTTCTACCTTTATAGAACGTTAATTGGGATCGCTACTATCGGATTTGTACGCATGTGTCGACTCGGACAGCTCTGTTACCATAACAAAATTAAATGCGGGTTGGAATGGTTTTTTAACTGATTTTAGAATCAAATTTATAACCTAATTTTTAGTTATAAGGTATTATAGGTAAGATATATTTTAGATATAAATTTAAAATTTTGTATTTTATTGGATTTATTTGCAGATTATTTAATTTATTTATTTTTTAATTACTTTTGCTTTATTTAACAAAAAAACTTAAAAAAAATTATAAAATACTTCGTTATGAACACAATGTTGGTTTAGTTTGGATATTTAAAATATTATTTTCAGATGGGGTTGTTAGAGGTGGTCATACCTCCGGATATTCTACCAGACAACGAATCTGCTGAAGGTTCTGGAATGGCTATCGAAGGAGGTACCATTAGATTGCGATGCAAAGCTATAGGGATACCAGAACCCACAGTCAGCTGGAAAAGAGAGGATGGAAGGAATATCATCTTACGTCACGATGGTGGTAGAGAGAAAGGTATTTTTTTAACTTTAATCGATCACAAAGAATTTGCGTTTATCACAAAGAAATTGTTTCCAGGGATTCTAATATCGGTTTTTTATTAGTATTTTAATAAAATACGCTTTTAAATGTCCAGATCATCTAAATAATATATTTTAAACACCATAGAATGAGTTAAAAATTATAGGAGTACCATCAATCAGACTCCATCTCAAGCCAAGCACTAAAAGAATATCGGAAAATAATAAAGTTTAAATTTAAAGTCGATAAAATGGCCGTACGTTCTGGTAAAAAATGGGCTGAGACAAAAAAGGCCCGAAAAATTATTATAAAGTGAAATACCGCGTAACGCCCAAATGGTATTCAATAAGTTATAAAACTAGCGCAGAATTGAATTGGATATGCCATCGACGGAGTGTTTCAAGCTGAGGATCTGGGCGTTTCTGATTAAAAGCCCATGTTTTAACACGAATTCGGAAATCTAAATGCACCTGCAATCATCTTTCCCAGTCTATGGCTACAGCAGAGCATTGGAAATTTAAATGAGCCAGATTTATCCGTCACAAAACAATTTTTACAGATTTTTTTTACAAACACTAGCTTATCGAATAACATTTTCTGGCTTCGACATAATTATAATCTTGTTTTAAAATTTAATTTTTATTTCAATTTTTATCAAACAATTTTGTTGAACGATTTGATTTCTATGACAATATGGGCCCTACTTGTTGGAGGCCCCACCTACATGTTTTAAACTGTTTCGAAGAGTAATAACTTCCTGTCCGTACCCGTATTAAATTACTTAGTAAAAAAATATACATTTCCGCCGTTTTTTACGTAAAAAATGTATCTTCGTAAAATTTGCTACGAGTAACCGTTCCCAAAATATTTGGAATGGAAATTGTCAATACATGTCATCATTGTGAAAAAATAAACATTTAGCTAGTTATTGGACTGAAATGACAAGTTTGGGAACTTGACAAGTGAATGACAAGTTTTTTTTTAATTAAATGTTATGATAAAACAGTTTCCGTTGAACTTTTGGCGCAAAAAACATTTGCAAATTTATTATGTCAGTCTAATATCTATCTAGTCAACATGTTCAATTTTTGTCAATGATGACATGTATTGGTTATTTCTATTTTCAAATTTGTTAAAAAAAAAGATATTTTTTACCTAAAAATGGTTAGGTTAGGTTAAAAATGTATAGTTTTTCACTCAGTAGTATAATACAAGTCCGGACAAAAATTTATTACTCTTCAAAACAGTTAAAAACATGTAGGTAGCGCTCCCTAAAAGTAACAGGCATATTGATATCGAAATAAAATTTCTCGTATTACGCAATTACGTAAAATACGCCTAGTCACAAATTTTGATCCAAATATCTGCTAATACAGAAATTATTTGAAAAAAATCGATATAAATTGAAACTTCTACATCCTATATCTCCAAAACGAAGCATTTTAGAACATAAATTTATACGAACGTGTTTGCTTATTTTTATCTGCAATACAATTCGGACCACCCTGTATATTACACTGTAACATTTTTACTTATTTTTCGCTGCAGAATGTGCTGCCGAAGTTTCCTAAATATAATTCGGACCACCCTATATTTTATCACAGCATAAAATGATATAAAATTAAGCATCTTTAGAAACTATTGTCTCATATCATTAACGCCCGAGAAGATCTTCAATAAGTTTTAAAATTGGCATGGAATTCAATTTGATACTCTGCTACGAAAATGTTTCAAGCTAAACATCATTTATTCTGAACATAAGATGTATACGAAGTCTAAATGCACCTGCAATCATATTTTCCGTTTCATGACGTAATTGAGCATTTCAAATATAAATGAAGCAGATTTGTCTGTTAGAGAACGATATCTTTAAGATATTTTAAGTAAAATATTAGAAGAAGGTGATTGGTGCAACTCTGTAATAGAATCTATTGAGATGCTAAAATATTAATTAAAAAAGTAAAATATTTTTATTAAAGTATAGTGAATTAATAACACCGAAGCATCAAAAATAAAAATAGTGTATTTATAAAGTTATGTTAGTTTTATAAATTTTAGATGATTTAGAAGTTTTTGTAAAATGGAGAAGCTTGAAAGTAAAAAACTCATTCGTTGGCTCCTATAGAGTTAAATTATTTGAAGGAAAGTTTTATCTTCCTTCAGCTTCTAAACGATTTTTAATAAGTTTTAAAACTACGAAATGATTCAATGGGATTATGACATTGCCAAAATGTTTCAAGTTGAGTATCACTGCCCGAACTTTCTTACTCAAACCACGTGTTTGAACATACAATAATTGATAATATATAAATGCACCTGCAGCCATCTATATATTCTACAGGGTTGTCCAAAATGTATTCGAAAATTTAATAATTTGGTATAAATTTATGTCCTTAAATTCTTCGTTTCCGGGAGACCTACAGAGTGTTGTAGATGTTTCATTTTTATTTCAAAGTGTGTGAGTTTTTGACATAACAAATTTAACTTTTCGTCCTTACTTATAAAACTACTGAGTAAGAAAATATATATTTTCGCCGTTTTTTCTGTAAAAACGGTAGCGTTTCCTACAAGTAAAAGTCATATTGACATTAAAATTAAATTTCTCATGTCATAAAACATCCAGACACCAATTTTCATTCAAATATTTACATCAGTTCAGGAAATATTGGAAAAATCGAAATAAAAATCAATTTTTATCGGTAGAATACATGCTGTCGAAGTTTCCCGTATACAATTTGGACCACCCTGTATAACCTAATGAAACATTTCAAATTTAAATGAGGCAGATTTGTCTGTCACAAACGAACTCCTACAGATTTTTTAGCGAACCTATTTATAATACTTGCGAACTGAACGGGTAAAAAACTATATTAACTAAGAAATTCATTCCTGTCTTTGCTTCCGAATGAGTAATTGCTTATTTCCATCTGGCATTCGGCGATTAAATTGAAAATAAATTATGTTTGCTTGTTTTTAAACGGAAACCTAAATTTGATTTGGCTTGTCCGAAATTAAATTATTCTAATAACTTTAGAATTATTTCTGGCTGGAGATTTCGTTCATTAAAATTTCGTTACATACAACTGCAACTTCATACAATCATTCACCAAGTGTAAACATAATTTCCAATAAATTAATAATCTTAATTAATGGTATAAATTCATTCTAAAGCGTAAGGTTTCCATGCGTTCGGCATTACCCAAGGTTTTGAAGGAAATCTAACTGTAGAAACAACTTAACTTTGTTGAATATTTTAATCGTTACGCTGTCACATATCTACTAAACCAGCATTGTTCGAAAGTGATCAAGTCAGTCAAATTCAAATTTCAAGTCAAGTCAAATTTTTGGGTTTCACGGCAAATTTACGGCATGCCAAACACATGATTTTTTCCTTAACTTTTGAGAACCACTGGATCTTTCCTAGGTTTCCTTTCTTGTAAATTTAATCTACCACATATATGTTGCCATATTATCAACAAATTATGTTTTTTCACTAAAAAAAATTTCAAATTTTCCATTTTTTTTCGCACAAAAAACCTTGTAATAGTGTGTCTGAGGTCGAAATATATTACCCCTAGTAATATTTGCACGTATTTAAAATTCACCCTGTATATTCACTCACTGGAAAAATAAATACAAAAAAAATCACTACCTCCTGGACTAGAACAAGAACAATTTTTTAAAATATCCCGATATACCAGTGGTAATTCGGAAAAACGAAAAAATCGCCTTTTTATCAAGACGTTATATAAACTGGGCAAATAATTTTTGGCGAAAGCATACGAGCTGGCCTCGCCGACCACAACTCATTCAATCGGAAGAATAAAGACAAATGTTTAGTTGGGTTTCAAGTGCTGTTGGATATAAATGCCAGTCGCAATGCTTGTTCCATTTGATGAAACGTGCCAGCCCTCCGACTGCCGAACAATCATTTCTAATAACCCTTAAGGCTGTAAAACTTCCACAGTTGTATATTCTTGGCCGAAATAACTGCGCAACGTGTAATACACTCATATGCGGCGAAACACTTTTTAATTTTATAAAGCTCTTACTGCCAACCATAAGGTATATGTGACTTTAATCCGTACGCTGTTATAAATATCCTGTTATATCAAGAGTGTATAGATTTGTCCGAAGAGCCATATAACATTCATATACAGTGTCGGCAAGGCCTAACTTTGGGTGCCGAATTTCTGTGTACGGAGGATACAGTACATTAAGATGTACTGAACAAAGAAAGACGAGCAAGTATTTTCCCAAACGTATGAAATATAGCGTCAATCCGACTATTCAGAAATACTTTGCAAGTGGCCTTAATCTCAACATCGACAAAACTAAAATCATGTGCACTCCCCTGGAAGATCACAACAACGCTATAAAACTCGGAGAAGAACTATGGGAATATATCACGGAATTCAATAACCTCGGCGGTTTGATTTTGGAAAAGGCCAATATCGAGTCTGAAATTCAGCACATGATTATCAGCGCCCCAAGAGCATTCTGGAAATTAAAAGACAGGGTTTTCTATAATCATGACTTGATCACAAAAACGAAATTTGCAGTGTACCGAGCAATAATAATCCCCACCATGTTATATGGAAGTCAAACCTGGGAGCCTTACCACCTACACATGAACGCCTTAAGCCCCATACTCACACTTCGCTCCTTCGTCCCTTCCTCGCGTTACTTCCTCGCCTTACTTCCTCGCGTTACTTCGTCCCTTCGCTTCCTTCTTTCGTCCATTCGATGTTTGTAAATTAGTCGATTATGCAACAACACACCACAAAATATTTTTAATATAGCAGAGCTACATGTTTATTACGAAATATCTAGTAACCCCAATTAATTCAGTATCATGTACAAGGTATATCAGTATGAATGTACAAGTCCAGTCAACAATAGAGTAAAGTTTATTATGTCATTTATATATATATCGAAACTATAAAATATAACATACTAATTAAACGTTTATGTCAATCCCCATTTCTTCAGATATTTTTGTAAAGGCATCATACACACTATTTCTATTATTTTATTTTTGTCGCTACGATTACATAAATATGGACATCTATTTCTTCACAAATATGAAGACAATATTGTCTTATCCTTCCAGATTATTATTTGTGTGTGATATCTATTTTTATATCGACTGGCGATTGCTAGATGTACAGGGTGTCCCATTTTTGTGTATTTTATGGGGTTTCTGGTTTATGAGTAAAGATGTAAAGATGCCGTTTTCACATCATTGCTCTACTTATTATGAAACTAAATATGCTACACACAGATTTATCCTAGCCTCCTTAGTTCAAATTTATTTCTTATTTCGTTCTTTTATACTTTTTATTTTTTAATTAGTAGAAATTTTTGCATTGTTCGATAACCTTTGTATCTCGATAATTTTATAACTTATCAAAAAGGTGAAAAGGGTCAGTGATGGGCGGTGGGTAAGTACCCAATTTGTAGATAAATAAAATCTGAGTGTATATGTATATACACATTTAGATGAACATCCTAATTTTATAAAAGGTATTTCCGACGACCGCATAGTAAATACCCGGTATAATACCGGGAACAGGAATATATCAATCTATATTAGGAATATTGTAGATATATTCCTGATATTACTTGTATATTTCTGGCATTATACCGGATATTTACTATGCGGTCATTGGGAATACCTTTTATAAAATTAGACTGTTCATCTAAATGTACAGGTATATACCGGATACCCTAATTTTGTTTTTTTCTACCCATTGAGTACTTACCCACCGCCCGTGTCTCGTTTTTCAGGTAGAATGCAGTGGCGAAACTAGTTCTTCGTTGGGAGCTGTCTATTTCGAAAAATGACTCAAACTTATGTTCTTTTTTTTAAACAGGACACTCTATATATTATTTTTTATTTTATTTGCCTTGTTATGAGCTTTCTAAAATTATTTATTTTTATACCCTAGGTATACTTATTTATTTAGGTACTGCTAAACTGCTAAACGGCTCTTATTTTAGAGTTATATTATAACTATACATAAAAATTAGCGTGGAATAGCCAATAACCCACATTTTACGTCGAATATATTAGTTGATTGTTTTGATTACCTAATTTAAACCGGCCGACTATGTAATAAAATTAAATAATGCATTTTTACCCCGTTCATGAAAATATGTAAGTATTTTAGAAAGCCCGTAAGAAGGAAAATAAAATAATATACAAAATATCGCAAAATATCGACAGATTCTAACGAAGAACTAGTTACGTCACTGCATTCTACGTGAAAAACTGTACGGGACACCGTTTTCACCTTATCGATAAGTTATAAGATAATCGAGATACAAAGGGAATCGAAAAATGCAATAATTTCAGATTAGCCCTGTATATTAGAAAGTAAGAGAGCTAGGATATGTCTGAATGTAGCATCTTTAGTTTCATAAAAAAGTAACATCGTAATGTGAAAACCGCATCTTTGTAGCTCGACTCATAAACGAAAAACCCTGCAAAACACACGAAAATGGGACACCCTGTACAGACGTACTGCCAAATCAAGAAATCAACTACGAATGAAATCCAAGATCGATTTATATATTTTAATATATTTATTTATTTTTTTGTGTTCGTGATAATTCCTTTGCTACTTCCTCCAAAAACCGACAGTACGGGGAAGGAGCGTTCCGAGGAAGTGAACGGACGACGGAGCGTTTTGACGAAGGAACGAAGGAACACACAGTCGCATAAATCGACAATTTCCCATAGTAAATATATGATTTTTGGACGAAGGGACGCGAGGAAGGAACGAAGTGAAGTAGCGATGTGTGAGTATGGGGCTTTAAACAAGTAGCAACAATCAAATGGTACCGCCATGTCTCAAACGTATCAGTCTTTGAAAAAGTTAACTGCGAGAGTACTGAAGTCATGATTACAAAATCCCGCTTAAGATGGGCTGGGCACGTATGCAAAATGCAAGAAAACCGCTTACCAAAATCTCTGCTTTACGGTGAGCTTGTAGATGGTAAGAGGAGGCCGAGTGGAGAACTCAAAAGGTACGAGAATATTTTCAATGAAAACTTAAAGGGGACTAACATGCAGAATGAGTGGGAAAAAGCAGCGCACAAAGCAGTGACCCAGTATTGTAATATAATTCAATGGTTATAGACAGTAATTGAATGTTATAGCTTTATTTCTTTCATTCTTCTTTTATTTAGCCTTTTTTATGATTAAACTAAAAGTACAATAAAGTGATTGAATCGAGAAATTAATCCATATTTCTATTCTCCAGGGTTATAGCGAAATCCGTATTTTCATAAAGATCTTAATCACTTCATGAAGCCTCTGTCCATTGTATAAAATCAGCAGGTTGCTACACCGTTTCGTAATATTGTGTTTGGCATAATCTGGCCTAACTTTAAATGTGAAAGTTTTGTCACGCGAAATGATATATGCAAGCCCGCTATTGAAACCTAGTTATAGATAAAATGAACGCAGAAATTCTAATAGTGTTACTAAAACTAATTGAATACAGTTAGTGTATTCATTTAGTTACTGGTTACTGAAGAAAATAACATTTACTTAATATCTACGTGCAATGACATTTATAATGTAGGTTGTAAACATTTAATATTTTTTAAATTCCCAAATTTTAGCTGTAAAGAGTTTCGATGGCGAGACACTAATTCTAACTAACGTGCAAAGAACTGATATGGGGATATACTTATGCATTGCCAAGAATGGAGTGCCTCCACTGGTCAGCAAGCGATTTGAGGTTATCGTACATTGTAAGTAAATATTGAAAATGTTACTTTTATTACATTTGTTAAAAAACTTAGATATCTTAAAAAATATATTCCTTTTAATACCAACTACTAAAATTCCTAGTTAAGATCATGTGCAATTAGGTGGTAAATGCAATTTATTGTAAAATTAGCAAATTTGTATTTTTGACTAAGAATGGATACTGATACATCTTAATATCTTAACCTTAAGCCAAAGGTAAGCAATTTATTAAATGCGTTGTCTATATCTTTGCGATGGTTTTCTATTTTTGGATATCTCGATACTATTCCGTAAAAAATAAAAGAATAATTTTTGAAATTTAATTTTTGGCAAATTTTCTCCAACACTTTATATTTCTTTCTAATCTAAAATAAATAACAGTAAATATAAAATATCCCTATAGCAATTTCTTGTTAACTTAAAGCGAATTTGTTTAAAGCTTATAAACCAATTTGAAAAGAATAACTGAAATGAAAGAATAAAATTACTTTATTCATAGAACCAAAAATGTTGTTCATATTTCCTATAATTAAGATTTATCAATAAGTTTTTTTTTTTAAACTGACACTTGTGTCTATTATTAGTTCCGTTACAACAGAATGATTAATGTTTTAAACACAGTTGAAAACCAACATTTTTTAAAAGAAAATAATAAATCATTAAGACCGTCCTATTTTAAATAAAAATTTATCTAGTAAAGTTATGTTTTAAAAAATGTATACTAACTGATTGATAAAATGTTGAGATATATTTAAATTCTGAAAATGTTAATGCAAAAGACACCTTGCAAAAGTGCGGGATGATATTATTTTAGACAACCCAGTAAGGGGTGTTAAGAAATGAGAATTCAGTTTGGTTAGGTAATCTTAAAAGTAAAATCCTCTTAGAAAGGGGAGCAAATGCTGCGAAAAGACTCTTAAAGGCCGGTATTTACACTTCGTGCTAATTAAGTAGTAATTAACGGGCGGTGTGGAAAATACGCTCAAGGCACAAATTGTAAATTTCCTAACTAAATTCTACTATTTCAATAAGAAAAATTAGTAATATGTGTGTTAACATTATTTCATTTCCAATAAAACTATTGAGCTACTTATTTCCACTCAGGGGCAAAAAAACGCAACGGAAATGTTTTTCAAATTCAAAATTTTTTTTTTATATTTTTAGCCTTATTTTCAGAAGTTTTTTTACCAAATTGTAGATAAATATGTGTATCAACTTTAATTCGTAAACAGTTCAGTTTTTTATACACTTTAGTATTTGGCTTATTATACAAGGTTAATCGAAGGGTTGTTTTTTACCCTAAGTTTGAGACACCATGTACAATTATTTGATGGGCAAATTTTCTTAAAGAATTATTTTATGATCAGAACCATATCTTCTGAGCAATTTTTAAGAGCGAAATCAATTTGCTACCAACAATTTGCAATTTTTTCAATTATCATTACTTTTTGATAATATTTTTCAATATGAGGATATGAGGTGGTTTTGGAAACTATTTTCGTAATGTCATAAATTAGATATGATTAAAAAGTAATCGAGATATACAATTCGAGATATTTGTATACGGTTTTCTAAAAAAATCACGAAAATATGACTAAAAATATTAAAAATATAACACTTCCGTTGCGTTTTTGCATCTGAAGGTAGTATTAGTATCGTCTTGATAACTTTTGTGAATGATATAACCATCCAAACCAAATATAGCTTATACAACTAAAGATAATGGAAATTCGATAAAACAGTTTTATTTCAATATGTGTAGTTTTCTGGTGGCTCTTATTTTCCTGTAACCTTTCTGGAAGCCTTTCTGAAAGTATTTTAGGAACAGCGAGTTATTGCAACAGTAAATGTTGTGGAAAATTAAGTCGTATATAGCAGATTTTATTTACTTTCGATAAAAGGCTTTATCATTGTCAATAAAATTTGAAAGTGCTTGTACCATAAATTGGTGATAGATTTTCGCCCGACGTAAAAAAATAAACTAAAATACTTTTATATATTTCAGATTTATGTTATTATTTGACGTTTAATATTTTTTCTGCAGCCAGGACTATTTGAAAACGATTAAAAAATAATACTAAAAGAGAGCTGAATTACAAAAAAATTGTATGAGCAATATGTGCGCATATTTGAAGTGTTACTCTATATTTGAAATTCTTACTAACAGCTATTAAATAGAAGGATTTGAAGGACATGTTTGAAAAAGTGTAGTTTAAAATGTTGAAAAAGTAATGAATTAAAAAAAAAATAAGTAAAATAACAATAATCAAAAAATCTGCATTCAGTGTGTAAAGTAAAAAAAAATCACATAGGCTGCATAGGTTTAAATACTCTAAAATATATTTGTTATGTACAGGGTGGGCCAAATTGGACGCTTTTAAAGGGAAACGTCCTTTTCTATAGGAGATAGACGAAAACTAATACCGGTGTATGGAGCTCAATTTTTGTCAAAAACATGATGGTGAAAACCGCATATCCATATCTGTTACCGTTTCGGAGTTACGAGGTGTTTTTCAAAAGTGTGCTTTTTAGCAAATCGCTGTAACTTTTATGCTATGGATAATTTTGTATTTTTATGAAAACATTTCCAAAACACCTTTTTAAGTAAAATTTAATGGTTTAAGTATAATTTTTGTTAAATTAATAATTTAAGAATTATCAACAGAAAATTTTATTTTTTATACGGGACACTTTGTATATTTTTAATTTATTAAAAATAATTTAAATTACCTTTCCAAAAATATAGCACACTTGATGTTTTGCTGGATTCCTCTTCGAGGTATAGAGTTTATAAAAATTCGCCCACTTTAAATAAGTAGGCTTTGAACGGCGCCGGCTGTAATGCAAAAAAATTCTAGCCTGTGAGCATTAATTAAAACGAAAATAATATTTGCAATGAGAGATGCATTATTTTATAACAATTTAATCTATATTTAACCAACATCAACATATTTAAACTATATCTAATAACAATAAAAATAAATAACAAACCAAGACATGAGATTTTGCTACAGGTGTTCGACATATAACCGTCTTCTGTTATGGACAGACGGGGCCGTTTTTGAACATTTCCCGCGGAATTCATTAACTCAGTGGGGGTGAAAGATACCAAGATTATACGGGCAATTTAAAAATAAGAACCTTTATTCTTCCGCACAGATATCCATAGGATCCCATAAGCACTAGGTCCGGCGGCCTCGACGGCCAACGGCTGGGATCTTGGTTAGCTATTCAATTATTCTTGAAATTGGCTGCAAAAATTTGTTGATAACCTCAGTATTGCTGGAAAAATATTTTTTCGAGTCCCATTAGGGGCATATCGTCAACAAGGGGTCCAAAGCCTACAAGTTAAAAGTGGCAAATTTTTAAAAATTCTGTATTTCGAAGGGAATTATAACAAAATATCAAGTGTGCTATATTTCTGGAAAGGTAATTTTAAGCTCTTTTCAGTTAATTAAAAATATACAGGGTGTCCCAAATAAAAAATCAATTTTTCTGTTGATAACTCTTAAATTATTAATTTTAAAGAAATTATACTTAAACCATTAAATTCTACATAAAAAGGTGCTTTGGAAATGTTTTTATAAAAATACAAAATTTTCTATAGCAAAAAAACCGATTTATTAAAAAAGCACATTTTTGAAAAACACCCCTTAACTCCGAAACGGTAACAGATATCGATATGCGGTTTTCACCATCATGTTTTTGATGAAAATTGAGCTCCAGACACCATATTAGTTTTCATCTATCTCCTATAGAAAAAGGTGTTTCTCTTTAAAAGCGTCCAATTTGACCCACCCAACGTATGTATTTCGGTATTTTTCGTATTGAAAAAGTTAGTCTTGACAGCGGTTAGTTTTTTTTTGTAAAAAATACTTCCGTCGCAACGATATAGACAATAGTCCCGGCAGAGGCATTAAAAGAACAGTTAGAATAAGAAAAGCGGCCCGATAAATGTAACCGTTGACCTTTTTAAAGCGTCTGTCATATAAAATTTTACGGTCCTAATAATCTGTTTAATATTGCAGTCCACCCTCTTATAAGCGTGACGAATCAACTGCTGGCCTCGCCGATTGCCCGAGACGTCGTAATGCAGTGCGAGGTCCAGGCATCCCCGAAAGCCATGAACCATTGGATGCGGGACACCGGTAAGCACTTTTCCCGAGAGTACGGCTTAACCGACACCGACTCATATATATTACGCTATCCCAGCCAGGCCGATACCCACATTTCAAATTACGGGCAGCCTCGCTTCTTGCTATATTTTCATAAATCGACGCCAAGATTACCGTTAATAAGATCCACCATTCCATTTTTTCTACAGTATGTCACAAAAACTTTTCGACAAATAGCAGTTTTTTTTAGTATTGAAATGACTACTGGGATCACTTTTATGTAAATTTGCAGACAAGGATTGAATTGAGCGGAGTACTGTAATGTAACGCTTGTTCGCTGCTCGTGACGAACAAAAAATAAAATTGTTTCTGTTAATTGGCAGCATAAGAAATATAAATGTACCACCACCAATTTGTTGATTCGACATTTTTGACTGAAAGAGTACTTGAACACCGAGATTTCGAGTTTTCGTACCGAGACTTGTTCGGGTTGTTAAGGTATCCAGGGTCAATTTGTCAAATTGTCTTTATTTTGCTTAGGATTACGTGCGGTTTATGAATATAATTCTGTCCAACGATCCATGACAGCGACAGATGTGCCTGTCATTTTATTTCACAAGTAAATTGTATTTTTTCTCATTTTTTTCGAATGTCACCCATCGAAATATTACCTGACTCGTTGGAGAGTCTTTAGTTCTCAACTAATCAAATGCTGAAAGTTTTATTTTCTATTAAAACTTCTACCAAAATTATATTATCCCAATTCTGATGCCATTTATAACGTATGCAGTACAAATTTTAGTACTGCTCACAAAGGCAAAAGAGTATACTTACCACTTTTTCAAATGCCTTTAATTTCCGCTTTACGCTAAAGTATGTCCGTCTAATCAGGGAAAGATATTGTCAAACGCTATCCAAACAATGACAGAAAGTACAATTTGCCTGTTAACTAAAATGATAGACAACAACTCTCACTGTCAGGCATTCTCTGGTTAGACATAAATAAATTTATAATTTATTTTTCAACGAATTCCGGATTTTGTCCGGATTTCAGAGGATACTTGTCCGAAATTTCCAAAAACTTGCATTGAAACCCTACCTCAAATGGCAATTACTTAGGACACGTTACTTGGCGGGAAGGACCGATGAATGAAGCCACTAAAAGTAGTAGTGGGAACTATCGAATGAATACTATCGAAACATTCGATAGTTGCAATTCATTCGAATAATTCGATAGTTTGTAAGAAAACATTCGTTGAAAACTATTCGAATAAAAATTATCGAATAGATCCGTCATCTGCCTTGAAACATTGTATTCTAGTAATTCGGCAGCAAAAACCATTCATTTATAAAATTCATTCATTTATGAAATTCATTGATTCGTCAGGATCGATTATAATAAAATATTAATTGAATTTTAGTTGTCGCCTTAACGGCGACGTAGGGTTTATTTCGAGAAACCCGACAGCGGTCGGTGGTAATGCTATGAAAGAAGCCGGCATCTTTGATTTTTGCGGAGTCAGATAAAAATAAGGACAAATTATTTTTTTTAATTCAGGTGCTAGTATTTACACAGAAAATACATAATGAAGGGCGCTGTTGCCATATTTTGGTATTAGTTGATATTAGCAAAGAATATTATTGTTTGGCTTTAGTTAGTTAGGGATAGTATGTCTATATATTCTGCATTTTTTTATTAATATTCTGTTGTTACACTGCAATAATACTTGTTATTTTGGACGTAGGAAAATGATTTTTAATGTTTTTAAGCAAAGACTGGTTTAATAAATAATAATAACAGTAATAATGTGTTATACCTATTAACAACAAAATTTAAAATCATTTAATATAAACATTATTTTAAGTAGTAGCAAAATATAAACAACAAATTAGATGTCAAAATTATTTATATTAGATCCTATTTAAAAATAATATAGTCTCTAAATTTTTTGGCAACGTTGGTTTATTAAAGAATAATAATTACAGAACTAATTTGTTATATTAACAACAAATTTTAAAATCATGAAATAGAAACATTTATTAATTTTCTAAGCATGCAAGTAATGGAAGAAAAATATAAATAAAAAATTAGAAATCAAAATTATTTATATTAGGTGCTTTATAATTACTATTTAAAAATTATATTTACTTTTACTGGCATTTACTTTAAAAAATAAATTAAATATTTCTTCGCAAAAAACTACATGTAAGAGAATTAGCATAAACAAAATACAAACATTGTTAACCTTTTTTTTAAATTGGCACGTGTAAAACTTTCATTTTATTTTTCTCACCCCATAGTTTGAGTTCGATAACCCCATTTACTTAACAACATTACTTAAATATGATTATTAAGTTCCAACTAATTCATATTATTAAAACATCTAAAATACAAATATGTATTTTTAAAATTAATTGTAAGTTCATCTCATCTCTGTTAAAAATTGCTACTTCGCCTAAAAATTTCCCTTTAAAAAAATGCAATCTAACCTAACCATAATATACCATATAAAATGAAATAATTGAAAGATCGGGCTACGGAAAATCACACAAATTTTCGGAAAAATTTGTGTGATGACCACTTCGCACACAATCGTCAATTAAAAAAAACTACTATTTTAGTATTTTAAATATTTTAATAAACGCAAAAATTGCATAGTATTTACAAGGCGAAGTTATAAAAACTTGGAAGAACTAATAATGCACTGACGCACACAAAAATCAAACGAATACTAAATTTCATTTATCAAAAGAATTCGATAGTCAACGATAACCATTTAGTCGCACGGCGAGGTTGTCACATATGCTTTAGTATACAAATGAATTAATGATTTTATTCGAATAAAACCATTCGATAGTTGAAATCATTCATTCAGTAACCATTCGATAGTCTAATTCATTCGATAGTTCCCATCGCTAACTAAAAGTACCTAATATTAACCAAAGGCCATAAAAGACTTACTTTACCTCAAATCATTTATAGAGTAATTTAGCACGACCTAAAAATCAAGAAAGTAAGAGTAATAAAGTACGAGTAAAAATTGGTTCCGTACCATTCATTATCTATACAATATTACACACTATATTATTATAAACTTCTTTTCCGATTTAGCTGAAATTTTGAATGCGTATAAGTAATTTAAAAAAAATGAAGAAACACATTACTAAAAATTGAATAATCAATAATAAATGTGTAAAAAGTAAATGTAAACATGTAAAAATATGTAAAAATTAAAAAAAACGATTAAAAAAAGTCGCCTGGACTAGGATTCGAACCTGCCCTACTACGGCTCCAACGTCATAGCAAAGTAAAGTCCTAACGCTTTAACCACGCGGCCACCGAGGACTTGAAAGATTCTATGTAAAACTCTTACTTAAAAGATAATGTTTAGTGAAAGTACTTTTTTATTTATAAACATTTATTTAATTCTGTTTTTAGTATTTGTTCTTATAACTGTCTATAGCTATAACGATTCATAACATAGACCTTTGTGACAGACGGACGGATGAACGGACAGCGAAGTCTTAGTAATAGGGTTCACGTTTTTACCCTTTGGGTACGGAACCCCAAAAATTAAACCTGCCGACGCGACGCCATCTGTGGTTGAAACAAGAAAATTAATAATAATTGGAATATTTTACGCGCTATAAATTTAGTTATACACATCGCGTCTTTTTTTAATATATTTGTTGTCTAATATCGTCCGTACCAGACAACTGACGGTGACAGCAGACAGAATTCCTTTCTATGTGTGTACGTTCAAGTCGTTTCGATCTACGACTGAAAAACACGGTATAGTCTGCTTAGTTCGAGAGTAGTTTCTATCAAGCCCGTGTTGTGTTCCACACTGTGCAACTACTCCTATATAAGGCAATAACCCTCGTCTTTAAAGCAAAATTGTCTGGAAAGAAAAAGATTCCACTATGCGGCACGTTTCATATAAGATAGAGCGAGCTAGTTTTCAGCTGCTTAATAGTTACATAGAAAGGAAAATATGCTGACGCTCTACAACAAATTGTACAGTTCTAGGTGTTAAACTTTTCTTAATATCGTCGCAAACTCTTTATATAGAGAACTAAGAACATATCAAATCATTCTATCGTTGTACAGGGTGTCTCATTTCCTTTGTTTTATGGGATTTCTCGTTCATGAATAGATATACAAATACGCGGTTTTCCCATCACTTTGTTACTTTTTTATGAAACTAAAGATACTACACACACATTTGCCCCCTGGGTTTCTGATAATACAGGGCGAATTTGAAAATGTTGCATTTCTTGACTCCCTTCCTATCTTTGTACTTATTTATACTTATCGAAAATGTGAAAAATAAGTTTCGTAGAGTATTTTAGAAGGTATCCCGTTTAAAAAAAAAACATAAGTTTGGGTCCTATTTCAAGAATGACAACTCGGCCCAAAAATATAGTTAAGCAACTGAATTCTACGTGAAAATCTCTATGGGACTCAGTTTTCACCTTTTCGTTATAATGCAACATTTTGAAATATTTTTTTGCCCTGAAATACAGGGAAAAAATTAGGGCTAAGACAAATCTGTATGTAGCATATTTAGTTCCATAAAAAAGTAGCATATTGATGTGAAAACTGCATCTTTGTAGCTATACTCATAAACGCGAAACCCTGCAAAACATACGAAATTTTGACACCCTGTACAGTGCACTAGTACAATAAGAAAATGGCATTTATAACAAACAGATATTTTGAGAGAATTTATACTATTCACTGTATATTTTATTGGCCCTGTTAACAAGCAGTAAACAAGTATTCTTATGATTTTTTTATCAAATATGTATATTTTTATCATACTTAACTATTTATTAAAAACTAGTTGAAGCCTGGCGCATCCGCCACGACATCAGGAAAAAAATACTTTTTATTTTTTTTTAATTAAATGAATCTTTTAGTAAAAAAGCAACTTTCTAGAGCAAGTCGCTACTTTAGTAGAGACGACACAGATAAACATTAGCATTTTATATATGTAGATTCTTAGATAAATGCAATACAATAAAAAAACGGCGTAAAACAGGGCTGGGAATAACAATCCATGATCATTTTGGCGAGGTCAAGCTCTAGACGTCCTTTACTTGGCCTCTCTTCCTTATTTATTAATTGCACTCCTTATACTTATAAATTATTTGTGTGGAAATTTTCTATCCTCTTTTAATCTTTCTATAATTTAGTGTTAATTTCTTCCTAGTTTTAGTAAATTTTTAGTAAAGGATGACTAGAGATTGACCTCGCCAAGAGTATCATCGATTGTAATCCCCAGGCCGTCCTGGACGCCTTTTTTCGATCATACGGTATATAATGAACTTTTAAATCTATTTTTAAAATAAATAACGGACTAATAATGAACAGTTTTATATCAAATCATTAAGGGTGATACAATTAACAAAGGTTATTTAAAGGGAAATTCATAAAACTAGTGTTTCATAGTAAAGCTCTTAGTGATATATTACACTTAAGTAGTTTTCCATTATTAAGTCACTTGTAGTAAGTTTTCAGCATAATGTGTTCCCGCAGCATTTTAGAATAAGACAACGTAAAATCCTTATCGGAAACTGTGTATAATGATGGGTGTTATAAACAAACTTGTTATAGATCTAAGTAAACAGGGTGTCCCAGAAAGAAGTGCAAGTATTTTAACTGGTAGTATAGTTCAACCACAAAGACACGCCTATGAGGTCTTTTCGCGAAAAATTTTTTTTAGTTTTTAGTTTAAAAAGTTTTGATAATATGGCAACATAGGTATTAGATTAAATTTACAAGAAAGAAAATCCAGAAAAGATCCAGTGGTTCTCAACATTTTAGCAAAAAATCAGTAAAATAACTCCGTTATTTTGGACTTATTTGAAAAACGATAAAGAGAAAATATGTTTCTTTTATCGAGATCTACCACCCCTTAAAATACTTGCACTTATTTCTGGAACACCCTGTATATGAATGAAGATTATATATGGCAATGGCAACTTGGCAACACATTGACGATATACGACAGCAATACGCTAATTACATCTAAGCCTATTTAAAGTACTTTATTCTTAAAGTACTTTTTTATTCTAAATTCTAAAGGCGTGTTGGCACGATTCAAGCGGACTAAGTACTCTCGAATGCTGCCATATAACTGTAATTATAATAATACTGCGCGCGTCTCACTTGAAACTTGCTTGTTTCGTATTAACTGTTTTATCCAAGTCAAGTTGAAATACCTCGTATCATCCAAGTAAGTATGCTGGCTGCCAACTTACTTGGATGTTACGAAGTTTTCCAATCCGACTTGGGATAAAACTGTTGATAAGAAAGAGGCAGCGTACAAGTAAGACGCGCATGGTATCCACGTAGGTATACTTACATGGCAGCATCCAAGTGTACTTGGTCCAAGTACACTTGGACCATTATCAACCGGGCTTTAAAGAAAAAACTTATCAATATTAATCTTTTACTGAATATTTTACGGTATAATGTAGAGGTAGTGATGGAGATAAATCACGTGTAGGATTTAATGTCTTTAATAACCTAAACTTTTCTTAAACAGTTTTGTTACAATGCGAAATTATTATTTTACTATCTATATAAATATATAAATTAATTTAGTATCTTCACTATTTTAGGAGAGAAAATAATACCAAACGAGAAGTATGTAATGGAGGAGATTCCAAAAAACGAATATTCCTTGCAAATGAATTTGAGGATTTGTAACATAGAAAGAAGAGATATTGGTGGCTACATATGTACGTCTTCGAACGCGTTAGGAAAAGCTGAAGGGACCGTACGGTTACAAGGTAAAACAAAAAATATTCAGTGATCAGTTTTTCCACACATTCTCCAATAAATATTTTATATTAAGAAACCTTTAACAGCTGGCGTTATGTGACACACTCGTTTTTTACACTTCTTTTGTAAGGGCAACGGCTCAACTACGTCGAAACACCGGTTTCCGATAGATCACCGAAGTTAAGCGACGTTAGAGGCTGCGACTGTATGGACGGGTGACCATCTTGAAACTCTGTCGTGATGTTGTTCCATGGCAAGATTGTAAAATCTATTGACACACACTGCTCATTCACGCCAGTTCCGAGTCGGTTGAGATCAGATTAGTAAGAGTCGATTTAGACACTCGTCAAGATATAACCGAGGGCCGCGGTTCGGGTTCCGCGTAAACAAAGTAGAGCCCGTATATAAAGACGCGTCCAGATTAGTCTTAGCAGCAAATCGGGGACCTTAATTTAAAATAATTTTACTTAACTTTTATAGTACTAAATTTTTTGAAGTAGGTATTTAAGTTACATAAAATTAAAAAAAAAGGTTCAAATCAAAGTGATTGAATTACTATGTTTTCCGATAAGAGGCTTTCGCTTTAAAATGTAATCGCTGGAAAATAATTTTAGGTTACAAAAGCTTTGGGGGAAGTTAGTTATTAATCAATTGCGGTTTTATATTAAAATGTTCTCCCTTTAGTTAAGTAGCGCCATCTTTTGGAGTATTTCCCAATCAATTTTTTATGAGATAATTTGAATTAGAGCATCCTGGAGTATTTTCTTCCAATATCAATACCACCGTAATACAAATACAGGAAATTACGAAGAAAAAAAACATTTTATTTGAAATCCATTTCAGTTACCATTAATAGTACCATACGATCGATAATAAAACGGCGTCAAAGACGGCTGGGGAATAACAATCGATAATAATTTTAGCGAGGTCAATTTGTAGATGTCATTTAGGTACTAATTAATAAATTGACATAAATCTTCTCAAAAATTAACACTAATTACAGAAAAATTAAAAAAGGATAGAACGTTTCCAGACACATAGAAGAATAGATAATCTATTTCCATAAAAAAAATATTTTTTCTGAAGTTTTAAACTACACTATTAAAAATAATTTGTACTCGTAAATAATTACAACCTTCTTAAGGCCCCAAGCAGCATTTGAACGTCGGGACAACGTTGTGTCACGCGACCAAACGTCGGGGCGCAACGTCGGCACAACCTCGTGCCAACCCTAGTCTGCACTAGTTTGGAGAATAATTTTTGGGTCGAAACGACGTTGGATACCGACGTTGGTTAGAAGCCTAATTTAGTACAAACTGCAACGTTGTTTAAAATCCTAATTCACAGAAATACAAAACTAATATGGCGTCTAAGTCGCGTTTTATCCTAAATTGGGATAATTATAGTAAAAATATTATTTTTATGATTTAGTTAGAGACATATGTCAGATGGCAGTGAAGGAAAACAAAACAAAAGTATTTAAGTGTGGAGGATGTTTGAAGATCATAATTATTGAAACACTTTAACCGACTCTGTAACTCGTTAACCAAGGCAAAAAAGTTAAACGCAAACAACTTTATTAATAAATGTATTGTTTCTACTTTGAAAAATACTAATGGGCCTTAAAATTAAAGAAGTTTTAAAAATTTTCTTGAATTTTTTTTTTAGTCAAATGTGAATAATTTATTCGCAGTCGAAAAAATTGTTTCCGCGTGTTTTTTAGGGTCAAATATTTCAAGTTAATGTATTCAAAAAGCAGGAATTGCTATTTTAGGAAAGAAACATTTACTTATTTAACAACATGGCGGCTTTCACTTTGTTGTTTTGGAGATTAAGATGGAGTAGTTCGAGTAGTCGCAAGATTGCCTAATTTAGTCATCCTAGAGTCTAGCTTGTGCCGCCCTCTATAATCTAAATAAACGAGGGAGTGGATAAACTATCGGTAATATATGTATGTCGATGTATATTTAAATTTAGTTTTATATGTACCTTTCTTATGCCCCATTTTTTTTTATAAAAACCAAGTTTTGTTTATAAAAACATGTTTATATAATGCCAAAGTTTTTTTTATAAAAACAAAAACAGCACTGAACTGTCTGACTGAACAGAACAATGAAGTGAAAATTTAAGATTTAAGGTTATGGTTCAATAAAGCTGCAAAAAGGTAGTGACTCGACGTCCTACCAACGTAAGAATAAGGAAATCTAAACAACGTTGGAATTAGTAAAACAGACGACGTTTGCATAACGTTGGAATAGGTCCTGAAACTGACGCCGGAAAACTCTATGTTGTCCAACGTTGTAACTACGTTGTCCGAATCACCTAAAGATGACTTAAGCAAAAAAGGTTACAAGACAACGTTTATTCGACGTCGCAGAAGCTTCTACTTTGCTGTAGTACTAGTCCAACGTCGGTGCAACGTTATAAAAACGTTTAAATTTATTTTAATACCCAAAGTAGGGAGCTAACTATTTTTTGTAACTAATCCAACGTTGTGTTTAGTAAACATGTGGTCGCAAGTCGTGAAAATGCTACTTGGGGCCTTAACTGGCAGTAAGTATCATTAAAAATAAAGAGGAGTACGGGCCTAGTAAATAACGTCTAGGGCTTGCACACGCCAAAATTATCATCGATTGACGCCGTTTTTTTTCATCGTATATGATATCTCAAGTAATAAATAATCATCGATTAGCTGTACTTGTTAAGAATTTTAAAAGAAAAAGATAGCAACCATGATATTATTTAAAGTTTATTTTTTTTAGAAAAATTATTGATATTTATTAGTGTTGTAGCAAATCATTTATATTTTAGAGATACATTTGCCGTTAGAGACGACAACAACGACAACAACGCCAAGATACATGGTCACGAAATCTCATAAACCATTAGTCAAGGAAAAACCAATGAAGCCAAAAAGTGGAAAAGCCAGAAAGAAGGAGCTGGAAGGCAAAAACGACGAAAAACAGTTACCGAGTCCTGAAATTAAACTGATCACACCAGCGATTACAACCACAACCACTCAAACGCCATCTATTATCCTGCAACAGAGAAATGGCTCCTCGAAAAGGGTTCTATATCATATCTATATCTATATTTTCTTTGCGATCGTTATTTTTGAATGACACGTGATCCTAGACAATAGTTTATAAAGTATGTTAAATAAAAATGTAAATACTCGGTTATTTTCTGAAGGTTTTTACCACATTATAACGAAAAAAATAACAAGAAACATTCCATTCGTTTTTCTGGAACTTGACATATAAAATATATCTATCATATTGTCTTCCCTTTAATTTTAATATGGAAAGTATTCCTTTAATTTAAATATGGGGTAATCAAATTACCTTCGTTAACAGTACAGGGTATATTTTTGTTTTATAATTAAAACTTTATGTAATTTAATTCCAGGAAGGTGTATTTTGTAGAGTTATCTTATTAATCTGCTCAAATCATTTCAAGTCGTCATGTTAAGAATTGCCGATATATGACACGGCTGTTTTTCAAAAGTGACTATAACTATTTTATTTTTTCAAAAAAAAGGAAATTATAGATACTACTGTACATGACATAAATCAGGATTGATTGACGTATTCAATTAGCTTCGGTCATTCCTACTGCACAGGAACTTTATTTGATAGAAAATAAGTTTCTGATTAGATTAGAATGCCATATCATGCATATGTCAAACTTTTACATTTTTAATTCTAAAAAATAACATTTTAAATTTACATTTCGATTGCCATGCTATCAAAACCTTTAATGTTTAATCAAGGAAAAATATATTATATGATCGTCAAATATTTTTCGTGTCTTTTCCTGTCCGGTTAAAAGATTTATTACAGAATCTTATTTTAACCATTACTTTTTTTTTTCAAATGAGACGAGCTCACTAGCATATTTGGAAAAACATTACTAATAATTTGGTACCATATACTTGGTATTTCTAGTCAACTAATATACTATTTTCTATTCAGAATAGCCATTTAATATCAAATAAAGTAAAGAAATACCCAGAGTACCATTTATATAAGTCAAAAGTTATATTAATTTCCGGTGAAACAGGAAACGATACTAATTGAATATGTCGACAATCCTGATTTATGTCATTTACTAACATACTAAGTCTTGTTTTTTTATATGGAAAATTAAAAAATGTTTTGGGGTTGGGCCACTGTTGAAAAACACCTGGTGTATTTATTCATATAGATTGCTAGATAACACACTTTTAATATTTTATATCTATACCTAGCATAGTTCTAGATTATATATGATTGTGATTTTGCTAAGTTATTGGCAAATAAATAATTTGCAGTGTAAATAAACATAAGAATAAATTAAAAACGAATATACGTTTAAAATATGTTTGAAGATAATGTTACTAAATTGTTGATTTTGTACACTGTTTAACAATAGGCACTAATAGAAGGATTCTTAACATGATAGTATATATAAATTATTTTTCATACAACGACTTATATTAATCCAAACGTTGTTGAAACTGTAGATGTATAAATAAAATTAGACCATTTGATTTAGTATTAAATTAGTTATTTAATACATAAATAAATAAACATAGACATAGGCAATAGAGAAGACAATAACAAGAGCGGTGTAAATAATAAAGAATTATTTTCTTTTTAAAATTCCAACGTGACAATAACTCATTATACAAAAAGTAAAAATAAAACGAACCAAATAATGTGAGATTATTTACCTACATATCCCGCATATGATCAAGCAAACCAGGTAATGAAAATTTTTACCGTTTTAGCAACAAGACAAATAAATATATCACTTGTAACTCGTAAAAAGATGTCTTCCGAAACATAATCACTCTATTTGTGATTCCTTAGGATTAATTTTCAGTATTAAAAATAACGGTAGTGTATAATAATACTACAGGTAACATTAATTGACATTGGGTACCATATCTATATTTAAATCTATAAAATATTATACAATCCACATTAAGCATTATAGTTGACATCATTAGAAAATACTCAATGTATTTAAAAGAAATGATTGTGTATTATTACCCATATTAAAATGACTGACACAGTATTTTTTGTATTACTAAACATATACCCAACTATTTCAAAAATAATTAGTGACCATATCTTTTTATCTTTATATCATTTTTTTTAATTTTTGCCCCTTACATAAAAATCAAATCTTCAGCAAAAATTTATTAAAGAATATAAATTAGAACTTCAACCTGTATATGGCATTAAACTACTTTTACTGGCAAGAATTAAAAAAAAATTTAAGTAATTTTCTAAATGCATTCATTAATAATTTACACAGACAAATTCTTAGGCAAGTATACTATTAAGTTTCGTGAACTGTGAGACAAGTACATATTGTATATAACCATCTATGATTTATTACAGAAGCTTAATTGAATATTTTTTTTTAATATAGGTAAGAGAATATAAACATTATAATATAAAAATAGGTTTTCCTTCAGAACCTTGTTTCTTGAAATACTTGAGAAAATACATTTGGATGGACCAAGGTCAAAACGATTCTGGAACTTGAAAGTATATTATTATTCTATATCAAATTGCTCAATATCTAATATGTTAAGTTATTTTAATCAAAATATACCTTATGGATCTATATGAATTGATTTCCTGGTATAAAATATTTAAAATAACCAAAACATATCTTGTTATAAATAAAATTCTAGAAATGTATTTTACCAATAAATATTGCACAAATTAATAAATAAAATTATGTATTTACATCAATCAAATATATATTTATACAAAATGAAAACATTGGTTATTTAAAAATATTTAGATGGAAATATAAACTGAACTGTTATTTCTTGTAGTATACTTGACTATCTTAAATTTATTTAAGCAAATGTCTGTCAATATAATCCTACTATTTATTTATAGCCTTTTTAGCTAAATCTGAAAGCAGAATTGACAAATATACAATCATACATTGTTTATATAGGGTAGTAATGTAATAAAATAACTGTTATGGCATTTGTTATGTATTAAATTGATGTATATTAATAAACATATAAATTAATATATTATCTTTACCTCGAGAAATATAAAATGTATGTTAATGACAATAATTCAATAAAGTATTTGTATAAATCATTAAGTGAAGTTTTAATTTTTGTTTTTATTTGGGTGAAATAACTATTTTATAATAAAAAAATGAACAAAATACGAAAACAGGTTATCATGTGTAAAAAAGCTTCGGTAAAGCATAAACTTAGAACTGAAATTTTGTTGCAAAATTGAATGATACCATTGGTTACCCAGACGGACTTTTTTAGAATGCTTATTTACTTGAGAGGTACGACGTCTTGACTGAACATTTACAAGTTTTAAATGGTAAGACTGACAGGTAAAACGTTATGTGTAGACTAGTGTATGTATTAGTTGTTAATATAACATAATGTTTGTAACTTCTCATGCGTAAAGAATGTACCCTGTCGAATTTAGGGGTATATAGGTACATAGAAATATAAATACATATATATTTGCTACTTTTACAAAGAATTAAATATAACCGTAATAATTGCAGTATCGGTGAGAACCAGCCTCTGGACAGTCCACCTGATGAAGGGTAGGCCCAGAAACCGGTTGTGGGAGTGGAGCTTGGTTCCCCCCTTTACGACAAGCAAAACAATTTTCTTTTTACTTTTTATTTTTTTTCTCTACTTTCGATTTTTCGAAATTAGAAAAAATACACAGCTAAAGGCAAGAAAATATTATTTATTAATTAAATATAACTTACCCTACAGTGAACAGCTGCTGATTGTCCATCAGAGCCAGGTATATAATATTGAGGTTTGCTGTTTTAAGTAACATTACCATATACCCTGTAAAAAACAATTATAAAATTACTAAAATTCTTAATCATAAAACATTTTTGCAATATTAGGACCATTCGTAAAGGAAACTATATAATTAAGACCAACCAGTAAATATTAATGAGGTCAAGTGGTCAAATTTACTTACATTTTCAACAGAAATATAAGATGTTTTTTGTTGTCTTCTACCCCCATTATCATTTGCCTATGCTATCTTCTACCGATCCAGAAAAAGAAATTCCAACATTCGCGACCCGATATAAAGTGTCTTACCAGGATGAACCATGACCCCAAATGAATATCTCAAAAATTTGGGTAGCATAGTTCAGCGTATATAGTCTTAGTCCATGTTAAACTTTTGCAAGTTTTACCTAAACTTACTCTACGTACAATCCTAATCGCGGCGCGTCCGATATAAAAGCGAATGTAGTGATTCCCGAGGCTCTATATATTATAATGACTAGATTAACAATTATTTTTTTTTTCAATAGAATATTAAATTTTTAATCATGTTCGAACACTAAAATCTCGTATAATAACTCAGTATAAAGAAGCGTTTATTTGAAGGGACGCTCAATATGGCGGCCTAAGAAAAAACAAAAGAAACTGACATCAAGCGCCATCTGTCGTAGAGTTTCTGTATGTAGAGTATCTATCTGCATGTAGATTACTGCTTTGAACTTTTAGAATTAATATGTTTAATTCAAGGATATATAGAATAAGGATATTCGACTGGCCCAAAAAAAACGTGCCGTATTTTGTCGAGGAAGACGATTTCGTCACGACCAATGGCCGAGTATGGAGGGCTTAAAAAAGGAGATTATCGGCAATGGGCAATTTGAAATTTCTGTCCCACCTTTTTAAGCAGCTTCCTCGGTTTGACAGCAGAGGCACTGCGATCGACTGGGACTGGGATACTACATTTTCATTGTTAGTATACGATTTAATTGTGTTTTTAATAAAATTTATAGTTAATTTACTGAATTTTTAGCAGTACAACAATGAGTCGTGGTAGAAATTGCTTTGTACCTGGCTGTACAAGTGGGAATCCCAATAAAAACAAGGCAAATAAAGAACGGGGTGAAAGAAACCCAAGCCTTTTCAAAGCTCCTAATGTAAGTAGTATGACTATTTATTTATAAAAATTATGGATAGATGTTAAGAAAAACATTAAAATTATATACTGTCAGTGTACAGATTAAATTATAAACCAAATTAATAGGAAATATAGCCTAAAATCAACATGTGTATAACATAACCTAGGAGGCCTTGTTATAAAATTAAAATAATTTAATACTTACTAGGTGCTAAAATTACCTGTTGACATGTACCTATATTAACCACAGTTTGAACAGTGCTATTGAAAGTGAATATTAAATATTTATACTTCAAGATCGTATTCTCAAAATAACAGCTTTAATAGTGAAAAATGTTTTTTTTTTATTTTATTTAACAATTATATATCTTTTATTAGGATCCTAGCTTGCTACAGCAGTGGCAAAAGGCGATACCCAGATCAGACAAGACACTTAGCAGCAAAGATGCTGTTTGTGAACTACATTTTCTAGATGAAGATATTTTGACTCATTATGAGATCAAATTAACTGACGGAACTATCAGTAGAATTGAGCGGGGTAGACCATTATTAAAGGAGGGTTCAATTCCAAGAATTTTTCCTAACCTGC